TGCTAAGACAGTTATTGTCTGTTTCAGCACTTTATCTCGTCGGATGGACACCATTTCTTCTGGTATATATTATCAATGTTCTAGTCGATCCAGCTTTCCTTAATTATGTTCAGCAAAATTATTTCAGTGATCTTATTTATATCATTTATTTCTTTTTCCCATGGGTGTGACTCGGCTTCTTTCCTTCACGGGGTAATGATGTTGCCGCATGAAAACCAATTAATTCCCTTAAGGGACTTGGTCCAGTCACACCCTTCAACGGTGCGCGATTAGGATCATTGACTATTTTATCAACAAGATCATCGTGATTAGTCATTGATCGAGTCTGAAATTTTTCTAATGGAATCTGTAAATTCTTCTCTGGATATGTAATGTAACATCTTCTGCAAAAGTTGCCCCGATTAAAACAGGACTGGAAAGCACCTATAAAATGGGATGCCAGCACGGAAAAAAAAGGTACTCTACCAAACCCATCAAAAAGGCTTCGTAGGCGTCCAAAGTTCCCAAATGTATTGGCATGTTGAAAAAAATGGTTTTCGAAAATCTGCGAAACCAAAAAAGGATCGGTCGGCGGGCACACGCTCCGAACCCTCATCACGGAACCTTTTTAAGTTTCGCCACAAAAAGCGAAATCTTCATGGATTCGTACAAAGCCAGACTGCGAAACCTTAAGGTCCCGTATTTTCTGGCAAACCTTTGTTCGGAGCGTGTGCCCGCCAACCAATCCTTTTTGGTTTCTCAGACTTTTGAAAACCATTTTTTTCAACATGCCAATACATTTGGAAGCTTTGAGCATCTACGAAACTTTCTTATGGGTTTGGTAGAATATCTTCTTTCTTTTCCAGTGCAGTTAAAAACAAACGTCATTAAGCAAAAAAAGTGTCGTGCAGAAGCAACCAAGTGAATCCGACGGAGTTTGATTGAGAGTGAATAAGGTTATTATACTGACACGAACTACCAATCGGCAAACAGAGCAAATGAATGAAGGAGTGAAAAAATAATAGACTTCACATGTTATATACGAAATCACACAAGGATGAATCTTTCTTTTGTGCTACCTCTTATAAATTCTGTTATCTTCGTGAGCAGGTTTGAACTAGCGAACACTTGTAGTGGTAACAATAAAATATTTTCTGAACAAATAACTTCACAATGGAAAGCAGTCTTCCGCTGTGCTGATTTTATGCCCTGTTGTATACTTTTTGAATAAAAAAGATACGATCAAAATGTATTTTGATATCCAGTGAGTCGATAACCGGCTATCAGCAACTAGTCGTCATTTTTGCATCTCTAAAGCGAAAGAGAGAGAGAAAGTAAGAGAAAATTCACGCTTGGGTGCAAAAGGTGACATGCTGGCGGAGAGAGAATGTGTCCCATAAAAGTATACGTATTTGATAGTCTCCTCTGTTTTTGCAAACAAACACTTCAATACGTATCAGCAAGTAAGTATGATTATTTTTGCCGTTCTCTTGTTAGAAATGCTCTTTTCATCACATACTTTACCGTTAATATAAATCTCTTAATAGAAGCCCATCATCTGACTTAATTCGGCTTAATTCATTTCAGAGGTACCCACAAGATGGAGCAACCCTTATATTTATGCGTTTACTAAGAGTTCATAAAAACAGCTATATTTTGGTTAAAAGACAATCAAAAATACTGAAATAATGCGA